AACAGGAAGCCAGGCACCGTGTAATGACGTGGCGCCCGGCTTCCTGATTGGCCGGGAAGCCAGCTCCATGCTTCCTCGTCATGAGGTGACAAGGGAGCATGGAGCCGGCCTCCCGGCCAATCAGAAGACTGGGTGTCGCGTCATTACACGGCGCCTGGCTTCCTGATTGGCCAGCTTCCCGACCAATTAGGAAGCCGGGCAGCACGTCATGACATGCTGCCTACGATAATACGAAATCACCTGCACTCCATGCAGCGTACAGACCTTGAATAAGAGGCTGGTGCTTGAAGTGACAACACGGATGGCGCCGTGTCAGATACAGTCCATAATAGCAGTCACCAGCACTTGATGATATGTGCAAGAAGTAAAGCACTTTTTATTCAATTGTCACATGCGCCAAACAGCCTAGTTTCGGGGCAACGCAGGGTCCTTTCTTCTGGGCGACATAGTGACCCATAGGTGACAATTGAATAAAAAGTGCTTTACTTCTTGCACATATCATCGAGTGCTGGTGACTTCTATTATAGAATGACACAATGCCTGGCTTCCTGATTGGCCGGGAAGCCGGCTCCATGCTCTCTCGTCACAAGTGACGAGAGAGCATGGAGCCAGCTTCCAGGCCAATCAGGAAGCCGGGCAGCGTGTCATGACGTGCTGCCCGGCTTCCTGATACCGGAAGTATCGGGCTAGGCATCGGAGCATTTTGGGCAAGTACGAGTACTCGCCCAAATACTCTGCATCAGCACTGATACTAGTATCGGTATAGATGCATCCCTAGTTGTCACCCTAGGGCAGGATATGTGGTACTGGCAAGATCACCAGATGAAAATAAAGAGAAAAAAGCCTAAAACTATAGCTAATGAAGTCACCGCATCTGAGGGCTGGCAAGCTGCAATATATCAAAATTTTGTTCTTGGGTTTAGATTTGCTTTAAGACAGGTGTTTAGGCTTGCCTATAAAAATTGGGTACTCACAATCCATAATAAATGTAATTTGCTGGTTTGTTTGCATGATGACATAAAGTTGCTGTTCTAGTCTTGCTCTTTTAACATAAGGATTATTCTACTGATATTTGGGGAAAAGAAAATCTATAGTTTTTGGGTACTGGGAATCTGTGGCTGATGTATGCCTATGCTTCTCAGCAGTCATGAAAGTAATGATTTCCTTACCTTGCAGTATGACAGTCTCACCAGCGATGTGATTGACAGGGAACATGGCGTCAAATATATCACTGAAAGAGACAAGGTAGATATAAGCAATTTGTAAGAGAGATGCAGGTTTATTCAATATGACAGACTGTCTATAAACCTAAAACATATTATGCAGGCTGACTCTTGTTTACTTCCTAATAAGCAAAACTGAGGCTTGATGAAAATCTCAGAATGCAGATCCCTGTGCCATTCTGCCGAGGCTACGAATTACAAGGCATCCTCTGTAGCATACACATGAAACTCAAACCTGATACGTTCTGCTCATATCTCTCATATCTTTAAGGAGTCGGAAGACGTTTTCGAAATAACTGGAAGGATTGTGTCAGGTTCCAATAAGGATGTGCACTCATGAACATTCCTCTGAACACACAATAATGTCTGAAGCTTTAACAGTTACCAGCACCCAGGGGAAACATTTCCATCATGGATAAAACAAAAACCACTCTAAAGAAGGGACAAGGCCTGAAACATGTCTGTTTTAGTGCAGGTACTATTATTACCAGGATCTAGCATACTTTATTGGTCTCCTTCTCATTACCTGCTTGGGATGTTTTTTTGGAATCACCTTCCATTTGGTCCTTCCAGTGTCTACCTTATATTATATACACTGCCTGGCCAAAAAAAAAAAAAAGTCACACACTCTAATATTTCGCTGGACCAGCTTTAGCTTTGATTATAGCACACATTTGCTGTGGCATGGTTTCCATAAGTTTATTCAATGTCACAACATTTATTTCTGTCCAGAGTTGCATTAATTTTTCACCAAGATCTTGTAGTGATGATGGGAAAGTCAGACCACTGCGTAAAGTCAAATTCAAGAATGTCACCAGAACACCAATAAAGTGAAATTAGTCCATTTATTCTGAGCCGGATGAAAAAGATCCTGCAAGGCCCCAAAAGCGCTTGCATTTGGATGGCATTGTTTTGTCATTAAATGGACTAATTTCACTTTATATTGGTGTGCTGGTGACATTTTGAAATTTTATTTGTTACTTCACCGTGTTGCCCGTGGTCATTTCAAGCATCCACCAGGACTTTGCAGGTTAAAACTACAAACTTGCAAGGAGTGCAGCAAGACACATCTGTATTCACTGTGTAAAGTCTTTTCCAGCACATCCCAAAAATTCTCAATGGGGTTAAGGTCTGGACTCTGTGGTGGCCAATCCGTGTGTGAAAATGATGCCTCATGCTCCCTGAACCACTCCTTCACAATCTGAGCCAGATGAATCCTGGCATTGTCATCTTGGAATATGCTTATGCCATCAGGGTCATTCAGTAATTTTAGGTAGGCAGATGACCAACTTTTTGGGGGACATGTTGCTGAACCTAGACCTGACCAACTGAATCAATCCCAGACCATAGCATTTATCCAGTGGAAGACTTTTACCTATTTGCTTAGCCAAATCAAGCCTAGGTGGTAACTTTTTTGGCCAGGCAGTGTATTTATCCAGTGTTGCACCCTATCCTATTGCAGACAACTGGGTGAGAGAGATTTAGCAACTGTTGGCGTGACCTGGCAATTTTCGGGAGGATTTATCTGGGTTATTTGCCCTGAACAAGCGTGCAAGGGGGCAGTATAAACAGGTGGTTATCCAAGTTTTTACTGCCCCCTCGGCCACCAACCTAAAAGGTACAATAGTGCCGGCTGAGCCCTGTATACCTGCCATGGGAAATTTTAAAACGCATGTTGCATTTAGCAGACAATGCCCCTTGCCAAGAGCAACAATTGTAATAAATGGTACTGTGCTGCAACATAGTTCTTATTTATTGCACTTGAAAATCCCCATAGGGATGAAAAATACAACATTCAGCACGCACGCCGCTTCTCTACTGCCCTCTAAAAAGTGACCTGCTACTGACTGCTTTTAAGAACTAGCGGCTTAGTGTTCCATGTATATGAGACCTTTAGATACATACAGAGCTTGCAAGGATATACAGATCAGCACAGTGAAGCACTTTACACTTTGCAGATTTGATTACATTTCCATCATAGAGCCAAGAATCAAGAGTCAAGAATGCTAGTGTCGGTTCTTATTAACACCATGCTGGCCGATGCTGGTCGCTAGGTGATGCTCAGACACCTACTGTCATTTTTTTAAGTTTTATTGAGAAGTCACCAAGCTGTCACTGAAATCTGGCTGAAAGAGACCAAAACTCAAAATAACATCTGTTTTGAACAGTTCGGTAGACATTAATGGAGCTCAGTAGGGTATTATAAGCAATAATGTCTCGCTGTCATTACAAAGAGCTCCTGCAGCCAGAAAGGACACCCAAGTGATGTGGAGTACTAAAGGTAGGACCAACAGAGGAGGCCTCCAACACAAACTGAAGTATGAGAAGGTTATAATTATAGCAGCATCTGTAACTCTGCAGCATAGCAGGGTGTAATTAACTAGGAGGGGCAAACGGTGAGAATGATGCTTGCCTTTTCCTATGCGGTAATAAAATTAAAATGTTACAAATGGTGCATGCTCTATGTTACTGACCCCTGGGTTAGATGAAGAAATGAGGTAGGATCTATTTGACTTTTGCAGTTTCTAATGCACAATATGGGAAGGTCATAGTGTGCAGTGAAAATGTTGTAAGCAATTTCAGTACAGGAAAGGGGCCAATACAACTGTGCAAGACTGAGGGTAAGGCCAGAGTTCCACTTTAGCACCTTCTTAGTCCACTAAGCCACAAGCAGATTACATAAAATAAAACTTCTTATTAAATGAATGTCACATTTTTTTATCTGAATTAATGGGGCAGCTCAGGCTCCATTCTTTAGGGAAGTACAGTGTAACAAACTAAGTCTCTCATGAACTTTCATGCTTCCTGTTGTGTTGGGGCTTGTTCTGTAGACAGGTCCTAGGGCTGAGAACATGCATTACCCCTTCCTGCAGCTCCATTACTATGCTGGACTGACACATCAGCAGCCTCTCTGATTAATATTCATGACAGTTCACATACAGTTGTGTCTGACACGTGCTGCTTTCACATATCTATCTATGTGCCACAAAATATAAACCAATATGTCTACTAGAAGCATACTAAAAACCTGCACAAAATGAAGGTTGCTAACTGTGGAGGTCTAGTTACTTTGAGCAACAGCAGTCCTATGTTCAATAAACTAAATCTGGACATATTATGCAGGCTGACTCTTGTTTAATTCCTAATCAGCACGGAGGGCTAACTGAGAAAATAAACTTTTGATTGCGTGGATGGGGAAATGCCCTTGGCCAGGTTATTATAGCTCTATACACTGTAGCATACAACGTTTCATAGGCTGAATTTGGCAGCCTATGACAGTCAGTCTTGTCAGAGGCTGGGGGGATTACACAAACAGGAAGTGTACCTGCTAAAAATTACTTTTTAAAGAAAATTTAGGGGCATATGGAGGGGGAGGAAAAAGTTAAAGGAGAACTATGACATGAGTGATTTCCACTCAGCACATAGTTCTAGCCGACCTGTGACAATGAGACTGTCACAGGTCGGCTCAGTAGATCGGGAGGTGAGCGAACAGATACCGGCGTTTGCTCACCTCTCGATCCTGTCACGGCTCTCTGTCGTGACAGGGGAGGGGCTGGATTCCCCTCCCCGTTCCGATCTGCCAGCGCTGATTGGCGGAACGGACGGGGGAGGGGGCGGGTACAGCTGGCTCTGCCTCTAGATAGGCAGAGCCAGCTGTCACTCACGCAGCTGGGCGGATCTCGACATCGATGTCGGGATCCGCTCCGGCGTCTCAGTATACCGCGAGCTGTAGCTCGTGGTATACTGAGCTTAGGGTAACGGGAGGACGCTAGTTTGTGTCCTCCCATTACCCTAAGGAGAACTATGGGAAAAAGCCCTAACCCCATAGTTCTCCTTTAAAGGACAGCGCAGGTTTCCACCAAACAGAGGTAGAAATACATGGGACAGAAACAAGAGATCTGTTTTAAATAAAACATTTACATCACTTGCACATTTTACATGCTTGTTTCTACATATGTTATGACTGTATTTTAAATACACATTTGAAGAGTCTCCCTCTAGTGGCTAATGGTGTATCAGACATTTCAGTCCCCATCCTAACTAAACAACTAATTTAATCAAGCTAATATGCCGCATGTGTTATAGGTGGTTTGTTTACAAATAGCATGAGCAAGTGTGGACCCTGAATCACTACTGGAAAACATGGACTTCCCAGTCTATGCATCAGGATTTCACCAGTAACCATCACAAGGGGTTGTGCCAGCTTGATTCAGCCCACTTCCTCTGAGCAAAGGCTCTCATGGACACTTTGGACATTTCCCTGAGGATGTGTTATCAGGTTGTACTGGGCCCAGTATACTATAGAACAAACCGTTCTTACACATCATTACTAGACTAAGGTAATTGCGTGTTGACTGAAACCTGGAGTTCTGCTTTACGATAATCGTTGCTGTAAAAGAATGAAAATGCTGTAGATTCCCGTTAAATATTCATAAATATTTGCCTACTTTACTGAAAGAACATGTTCTTTAATTCTTTACATATTACGCATTTATTCTTAAAATACACGCCTTAGGCTATTTCTGTATTTTGACCAGACTGCTTCCCATAGAGGCCTAAAACTGGCTGCTTTGTACATTCTGCAGACGACACATATAACAGTTAAATGAACCTACTCTTAAGAATGTTGTCAAGTTTGGCCTGTCATGACCATTAGGCACCCAGGCTAGGTTTGGCACCCAGTTCAAGCATATAGGTTTAGACATGAAAGTAAATGTATCTCAATGTATCAATCAGATGTATAGCTTGAGGGCATATAAAAATATTATGTTTGCTGAGAGTAGCAAGTCAGAGCATGCACAGTCTTTCCAAAATACTAAAGAAAATGATGGAAAATAACTCGGGTCAGGCCTCACATGAAACGTAACATAGCATTTTTATTGTTGGAGTGTTTTTTTCCATTGCATAATATAACACTGTTATATGATCTATTTTAAACCATGAATTATGAAGTTATGGAAAGAATCCACACTTAAAGGGAGAGTCCCCATGTATACCCTGATGTTCT